TAAGGGATCCTAGCGCTAATCCTCCTAAAACCATGTTCCAACTTTCTGGCATCTACTATACTGGCACCCAGGCACCTTGCCAGTGAGATCGAAGCCAGTCTCGGCTCCAGCCTCATCGAATTTGTCTTTGCTTTACCGGGGAGTTAGGGGTTTAAGGGTTTAGGGTTTAGGGTTTAAGGGTTCAGGGGTTCAAGGGTCGAATTTGGGACTTTGAATGAAGAGTTTAGGGTTAAGAAGGGTTTCGAGGCTTCATGTATAGGGCGCTGGGTTTAGGGTCTATGTAATCCAGGTGTTAGGGTCTGGGGCTCTGGGGATTGGCGGTTGAGGCTCTCAGGTTTTAGGATTTGGGGTCTTAGTTTGGGGTTTCGTAAGGCTTCCCGGCTTGGTGCTCATTGGTGTTAGAGCCTTGCGGCCGGAGGGTGTCGGGCCAGGGGAGAGGTTTGCGAGCTTAGGGGGTTTATGGCTTCAGGGTTGCAGTGGTTCCAAACACAGGACAGCATCTTTTGAATAGGAGCGACTTCGGGAAAGGGCTCTGTGCCCGACGTTTCTGATGCAGCTATATAGACCTCGGCCGGCATCAAATATAACCAAGACAAGAAACCTTAAGAGCCCCTTTAAACGGTACTATAGCGTTCCCTGTTGGGGCCCCCTGCAAGGGTCCCTTTAAGGGTTCCGCTAAGGATTTGGGGTTGCACTGGAGTTGCGCGCTTGCATGTCGTATTTCAGACCTGCAGCACATTTTGCCGGGGCACAAAGCTGGACTCTCGGTACTAGCGATAGTAAGTACTTGTCGGGATGGTCTCAAGACAACACCTGTCGTCAATTTTCCCGACGAATCACAAAAGCCTAAACTTCCTAAACCTAAAAACCCTAAACCCTAAGCCCGGAGCGGAGAAAGAGGCCTGCAAGCTCCCAAGCTGAAAGCGCTCTCCTCTTAGCATAAGCCCGAACATGCAAAAAGATGGGACCCCGAACCCAAAGCCAGCCTCTCTGTAACTGTAAGAGGAGCCACGTATCCCAACGGAACAGGGTCTAGAGCTTACCAAATATAATAAATATAACCTTAAGCCACGATCAAGCCAATCATAAAATACCAAGCAACCCCCTTAAGAAGCCGTACAGAGGACCAAAATGGAACCCTGTAGAACTTAAGCCGGAAAGAAGCCATATAAAGCCTCAGAAGCAACAGCCGAGCCTTCATGGCCACCGCGGAGGCGCGCGCCGCCCTCGTGTCGGCCGGCCGCACCGCCGTCCGCCTCATGAAGTAAATTAGAGTTCAGGTTCTAAGGTTTCGGGCGTCGGGGCGGGGACTGGGGTTTAAGTTCTATAGCTTTTACGGTGACAAGCTCCTCTTATACCTGGCGATCGAAACTGAGAATCACTACAAGTAGAAGCTCCAAGGATCTTCGTAAATGTCCTGTTGAAGTTTTCATGGCCTACTGATGTGACAACCGCTCGGATGCGGTGACTGCTCGGCGGTGGGCTGTGGTAGCACTTCAGTGATTGCAAAAGGACAAGTTCTGCCCGAAACTCTCAGCGCTGAACCTTTGGATGCACCACACACAGAGGAAATTGAATGCCTGTTCCGACGTACTGGATTTGGATGATATCAGAATAGGGACCTTGTAGGGAATCCCACTGCACCTAATTCATGATTCATGACTGCTCCCGTAGACTCGAAAGCAGCACATGGAAGTCCCTTTCTTCCCAAGCCTTCCCCCCAACATGGCTTGGGCTGGGTTATTCGGGCTGGTTGAAATTTCGGAGTTCATTATAGTTCAGGGGTGGGAGGTTAGACGTGAGTATGGAAAGCGCTGGTGGGAAGAGCTTTTGGCTTCAGATCGAGGTGCCTCTTCACCGCAACGCCGGCCGCCAAAGCCGTGGCAGCCACGGCAAGGGCGGATGGTGCGCCTTTACGAACATAAAATGTAGTAGAGTCTTGGATCGCATTTAAAAGTGGGGAAAAGGGAACAATGGCAACGTTAATACCACAAGTACCCGTATGCCTGTATGTGTATGATACAACACACCACAAGGTAGGTAATAACAGCGAAACTGCGAGCAAACCAGCCGCAAAGGTCAAGTCTGATGATCTGAAGTGCTACACAACACATAGCGACAAGGGTGTTCTGGACTAGCCTCAGTTCAGTACCACTTTCTCCTGAAGCATGCCCGCGAAGGAAGCCTGAATCACAACCGTACCGATACGCTGGTCATAGAAGACGAGACACAGCATTGCATACCTGTCTACTGACGTAACTTCCTCCTCACAATTGCAGCAAGATCATGCTGAGAAACAACATCGAATACACATGGTGCTACTGGCAGCGGCGAAGGAAAGCTGCTTGACAGAGAGAGAGAGAGAGGCAAGTGTGTATGTGTATATATATATATATATAGAGATATATATATATATATATATATATACACGGTTTAATATAAGTACACATAGACCAACCAAAAGCACCAACAAAGCAACTAGCATACAACAATCAGAGTTGGTCAGCATGCTGACCTCGATCTGGAGCCTCGCGCATAGTCGGCACAGGCTTTGTTGTCAGCCTGCACTGTGCTACCGGGAGGACGGGTCTCGTGAGCGGATAATTAGGGGAATAGGGGTCCTTTAAAGGGATCTATAAAGGGACTATAATGTAGGGGCCTGCCTTAAAAAATGGCTGAAGTTTGAGGCGTTGGTGTCTGCAAGATACTGCGAGTACGGCAAGGCCAAAAGCCCTTACCCTAAACCAGACAGCCCCATAGGTTCTGTATGCTTGTATGTACATACAAGTATATGTATGTACGTGAATGTGTATGTATAAATATATGTGTATATATATATATATATATATATGTATATGTATATGTATATGTGTATGTATATGTATATGTGTGTGTGTGTGTGCGCAGGTAGACTGCAGATATGTATACATGTATATATAAACTGATTCTAACATGGTGTTTATGTGTATATGTATATAAATGGATACTGACATGGTGTTTCATTGTTTGTGAGAGGGTTTTACAGACAACTCGTTTGGCAATTCCCACTGTTGTTTCTTTACGTCATGTTCCGCCACCTGTGCAAGTAGCAGTCTGGAATTCAATGGTGGCCCCAGTTCAGGGGATTATTAGGGTTTAGGGATCCAAACCCTAAGCAGCACAAGCATTTTAAACAATTCAGCCTAAAGCCCGGAACGCCACAGCCCCGAGTGATGTTCGACCTCGCCTTGCCACCGGTGCTACCGACTGCACCGGCGCGAGTGTAAAGGCCTCTTGCGTTTTAGAAGTATGAGGGCTTATAGGGTTTAGGGGTTTGATGTTTAGGCTTATATGCATCCTACCGTCTATGTACACATACGTACATCCGCACATCTGTAACATTCAAGGACCTTGGGATTCAAGATCTTCGGCCTTAACTTTCTGCGCATCTAGAGCGTGGATTTGTGCTCTTTGGGGGTCTAGCCATGAAGAGCCCTAAGACTCCAAAACCCCTTAATTAAAGAATATACCTTAATTAATTATCCTTAGTTCATATTTGGGATCCTGTTATGATTTCAGGTATATTCCTTAATTCAGGGGGCTTGGAGGCTCTTGGAGGTACATCCACAGCTGAAGCTCCGGACTGACCCCACGCAAAGAGTGTAGGGCTGCAATTCTATGCGAACCCCTCTCTGACCCCTAAACCCCGAAGCAGTTTTGAAACCTCAAACCCTCAAGTTGGGAATCTGGAGGTTTGCACATCATGGAGCCCTAGGGTGCCTGAAACTACTGCGAGCTGATTCTAGGGCTTCTGGGGCTGTGGGGCAATGCGTGCCCAGGATTGATCTGCATTGCAGGGTAGATGCTGCCTCCTAGGAAAAGCCTTCGATCTTGCAGGCTACTGTACGGGCCTTAATAGTTAGAATAGGGTTCCCTTTACAGGGTTCCTCGAAGGGAGGTATAAGGGATCCATAGTAGGGTTCTATGATGTAGGGGCCTTCATACTTGGTGCCATTAAAATAAGGCTTTGGGCCAATGGGGAACCCTCAAAATAGAACCCTAAACCCTTTAACGGAACCCTACAGTAAGGCCCTACATTACGCTGGCTAAGCCTGACATCGAAACCCTATAAACCCTAGCCTCTAAACCGAGAGCCCACAGCTCAGCAAGTCTCTCAAGTCAGAACCCAAAGCTCTTTAAACCCTAGCACTGTTCGAGAAACCCTGAACCCTACCTCCAGAACCCTAAGCCCTATAAACCTTAATAAACCTTAAGGACCTTAAACCCTAACCCCAGAAGCAGAACCTGTGGGGAGGACCTCGGAAAGTAGCGCCATTGCAGCTCGCTAGGCGCAAGGGAAGCGGGAGAGAGGCAGCTGCTTGGAGCCGACGGCCAGTTGGAGCTCAAGGCTTTCGGTTGCTCCGGGGTCGGATGAAATAGGGTTTCGGTTTAGGGTTTAGGGTTTAAGGTTTAGGGTTTAGGGTTTAGGGATTTCTGTATGTTCAAAACAATTAAGCTCTCCTTGTGTCGTGGTGGTGTTTACTTGAAGGCTCAAGGTACTCAAGCGGGCAGATAGAAGCACCCTAAGCCGGGTTATGCTTTCATGCCCGTAACTTATGAGTCGCATGATCATGCAAGCGGGGCTTACGGCTTGGGGTGCAGGTCTCAATGCTGAGGGGTAGCAGGCTGCAGGCTAAGCTGATCCTTCCCATCAGAAACCCTACATCAGGGACACAACGCCACTTCACACCCTCGATGTCGCCTCTTAGCTTGACAAACTCCACCAGCGAAGGCACGGTGCACCGAGCTCCGGCAAAGACCCTTGACACTTGAGTCATGAAGCTGAGCTTGCTCGCTTGAATAGCCCGGCTTAGCCTGGTCCTTCCTTGAGGAGCCGCGAATTTTCAGAAGATCTCAAATCACGTCGGAGAAGCCAAACCCTCCATCTCGCTACCCGCCAAACCAAAGTGGGCTTAGTCAGCTGAGTCACACTACCCTCAGAACCACACAAAACAGGGCTCCTCCACCCCCAGGCCCTCCAGCGCTTGCCAGCGTTGCCTCAATGATGTGGCAGCTTCGGCGCTGCCCAGCCTCGAGGGAACAGCTTGGGCTTAAGGCTTAAGCTTTCGGGTTTAGGGCTTTCGGTGTGAAGGGTTCAGGTCTTTGGGTAGAGGGCGCTGGAGGCTTGGAGGGTTCTAACAAGGATGTGGAGTCTTTAACGAAGATATGGGGCTCGCACTGCGGCCGGCAACCTAGATAAACCAACCTCTACTCACCAAGAACCGCTCAGCAAACCCTGACTTACATCTCGCAGCAGTATGCAGGCGTGACAGCACGAACATCCTTCAGCAGCTTCGCCACACTGCAAACTAAACCGAAGTGCAGTGTACCGGGCCGAGCTGGTGAGGTTCTCCACGACACAAATATGAGACAGATAAGCTTCCAGCTGCGCTACTGGATAGGACTCTACGGTCTAGGGGCTTAGGGTTTAGGGGCTTAGGGTTTACGGATTCAGGGTTTAAGGTTTTGGGTTTAGGGCTGCACACGTGACTGATCTTGGGAAGCAGGAACCCTAAATCAAACCGTCAATCCTTCTTCACGCAAACCTCCAGTTCCCTAATCTACCCTAAACTCTAAGGGCTCAATACCCTCAACCCAACATGCCCTGAGCAACTAGTCCCTCTCCCGGGACCGTCAAGTATGTAGAAGAATAGCCTTTATAGGTGCTGAGCCATTATTTCGCCTTCTCTTGGCGGTCTAGGCAAAGCCCCAAACTCGATCTACCCTAAACTCTAAATGCTAAAGGCTTTACACTCTCAGCCCAATATACTCTAAAGCCTATTCCTAATCCTACGCCCCAAACTCGAGCCCCCAAAACCCTAAACCCTACATATACCCTAAACCCTAAACCCTAAACCCCTCAACCCTAAACCCTAAAACCCCCAACCCCTAAAACCCCTAAACCCAAAAACCCCCAAAATACCATAAACCCTAAACCCTCATCAGCCTCTTCACTGGCAGCCCCTGAGCCTCCCAGGCCTCAAAAGGGAAAAGCACGATACTGTAGGGTTCCTGTAAAAGCTCACCTACAAGGAATATAGGGTTTAAAAGGTGTAGGGTTCAAAGGGCGTAGTACAAGGAATGTAGGCTTCCTGTAAAGGCTCACTTAGGGGTTTGGGTTTAGGATTTTAGGGCTTTTTTTTTTTAGTGGATTGGTTTAGGGTTTAAGGGTTAGGGTTTAAGGGTTAAGGGGTGAGGGCTTACATACAAGGAATGTAGGGTTCCTTTAAATGGCTTACAAAAAGGAATGTAGAGTTCCTGTAAAGGTTTACTATCAGGATGAAAAGGGTTACTATACGAATTCAGTCTCTAGTATAGGGGCGACAATAGGTAGGGCTTTGGGGTAGTGTGATGCCACAGCTATGTGAAAAAACGAAACAGCTTTGGCAATTATTCGGGCTCCGGTATTTCGGTTCGACTTAGTTGCTTGGAAGGTTTCTTGAGGCTCTGGATAGGATTTGGAGGGCTTAGGGTTTAGGCTTCTAGAGGGTTTCAGGGCTTCGGTTTATACCGGGTGTAGGATTGGCCAGGGGCTCTGGTGCTTGAGGGCGGTTTTAGTTCTTCATCGCGTATATCTTGAAGGAGGTCTGCGAGTTGTTGAAAGGCTTTAGGGGTTGGGTGTGTGCGGTTTGCGAGGCGCCTAAGACTTGGATTTACACTTCGTTGTTCAAAAGGGTCGTTCGGCGTATGATTTCTTCTGAGATATGGAACTTCAACGAAAAAGGCTCAGAAGTTTGCAAGATGTTTGAATTAGGCTGCATGTAAGCTCATAACCCCAAAACTACCCAAGAAAATCTGAGCCTGTTGGAGTATGGATGAAGACCCTGCGCAAGTCTAAGCTTTGCCACTCCGTCAAGTCCCCGTTCGAAACGGTATTCTGGGTCTAACTCACCGTCCCCGAGCGCAAAGCCCCCATTTGCCGGCAAACAGAAAGCCTAAGCATCCATGTCATCTATGATAGACCGATTAGTACTTACAGCGCTGACAACATTCAGTAAAAGCCAACTCAACGACAACTTTATCCGGGTCGCGGCGTCCTGACCCTTAATTAAGTCTAAAACTAAACCTTCAGGGCCAACTAGTCTCTGCGTGGCACTCTGGCGTGAGGTCGGAACTACTCGAGGCTTTCGGTTTCGGGCTGTGCTCAAGGATCTGGGGGTTTCCGAAAAAAGGGGACCCTAATGTAGTACCTTCCATAGTAGAATCCTTCCTATAACGAGCCCAAAATGTGGTACCCGTAATTTTCGGAAACTCCCATCTGCTCAAGATTAAACCCTAAACCCTAAATCCTAAACCCTAAACCCTAAATCCTAAACCCTAAACCCTAAATCCTAAACCCTAAACCCTAAATCCTAAACCCTAAACCCTAAATCCTAAACCCTAAGCCCTATCTCAAGATTACTGTAGAGTGGGGCCTCGGAGCTGTGGGCTCCAGGCCGTAGTGCGGCTGATCTAGGGGCCTTACCTTAACCCGGAATGGCCTACCTTTTTAAGGACTGACAGAAGGAAACCATAGTAAGGAACCCTAAAAAGGGTAGGTTATTCAGGGTTTTAAGGTAATTATTACGGCAGCATTCTGGGGCCCAGTAGACAATTGCTTTTAATAAGGACCCCCCAAAATAGCCTTGGTGATGATTTAGGCCCCTGTAGTACTTGTCTCTAGCTACGACTGAGCAACACCAAGGTGCCCTAGCACCCGAACCCCATTTCTGCGCAGTTGTTCTCAATTCGTTTGAGCGCTTCGGTCCCAAACCCCCGCTTTCAGACGTCGTCTGCAGGGGGCAACACCTGCCGAAGGACATAGTTCAGGACTCCACAAGAGCTGAGCTGCACGTTGATACTAAAGCAGTTCCCCTTCCTCGGAGTGATAAGATTCCGAGCCGTAGGAAACCATACTCCAACCGGGGCTTAAAAACCACAATGTCGCTTCTATTATTGTAGATCATTCCTATTATTCATCGTACAGCTTGAAGTATCGTCATAATTATTGGTGTTATTGATACTAGTACATTTATATTGTTGTCATACTGACTCCCGAGACCTCAGACCCTGCACCTGAAGTCGAGGGCCCTTGACTGCGGGGTCTTGTTGCGGGCCCGCAGCAACAGGGAGCCCTGTTGAAGGCTTAGATCTAGGGGTTTGGGGGTTTTGGGTTTAGAGTATAACAAGAATGGGGCTCCTTTGAGAGCTCTTCTCTTCTTAATTTCCCAAACTCCTCGCCTGTCTGAAGACCGTCCTTGGAGACTTGAAACCCAATCACGGTTTAGGGCTCAGGGTCTAGGATTTAGGGTTTAGGATTTAGGGTTTAGGATTTAGGATTTAGAGTTTAGGATTGAGGGTTTAGGATTGAGGGTTTAGGATTGAGGGTTTAGGATTTAGGATGTAGGGAGCCACTGTCAAATTGACCACACAGCTGGTCGCAAAGGCAAGCACTAGCTACATCCCGACAACCTGGAAAGCCTAAACCCCTCAATGCGCTAGACCCGAAGACCGCAAAACCGCGAAGCCTACGCAAATCCTAAAGTCTAAAGGAATACCATATGAGAAGCCCTCAGAAGCCCAAACACGAAACCCTAAAACTAATGCCCTTAGCCTTAGAAGCCCTACTTAAACCCCGCCCAAGTATGTAAGATACTGGCCAAAAGCCTATAAAATGCCAGTATTGCTATGATTCTATGTACGTTTTGGAGTAAAACACCCCACCTTAAGGATTTCTAGAAGGAAGTTATAGCAAGGAGCCCTAAAAAGGTCTTTAGGCTTTAGACTGGGGGGGCCTTGTGGTCTGCCTGCGTAAACATCGGTCCCAGGCCTCGACTGCAAGGGGGCGCTTTGGGGTTTTAGTGTTTAGGGTTTCAGCACTCACACTCGGACAAGCCTTGGCGAGGTTCCCTGGTCCCACGACAGGCACATGTGGCCCAAGCCATCATACATTGACGACAGCAAACATTATCCGCGCTACGATCAACCTCAACCTGCATCCTGCAGCTATTCGCATCATCCTCAAACTGTGAACTCATCAACACAGAAATCACGGCATCCTCAGTCCAGTTGGCCCCACTGGCAAAATGCCATACATGCAGCAACACATGCACACAAATTCCCAATCCATTCATGCTCGTTGGACGCCCAAATGTCCAGACCGTTGCCACTTGCTGATGAGGGCTCGACAGCTTCATGCAGTTGCACATGCATTCAAATTCTCAAATTCCGTTCATGCGCGTTGTACGTCTAAGCGTCCAGACTGGTACGTTCCTCTGGTTGTAGGCTCGACAGCGATGCAAGGAAAAACGGCCCAGCATCGGCACTCCAGTCAGTAGACACCACAGGGCAGAGGCCCTTCACGCTGTATCGTATGCATCCAAATTCAATGCATCACCCAGATTGCTGCAGTCAGTTTGGTGTAAGCCGTGGTATGCAGAAAGCATAGCCCAAATTCCATGCATGCACAACGAAGGCTCTGTGCTTCCAGACTCGCGTTCAGTGGAGCATGTATTCGGCTGCCAGACATACATCAGTGCAGCATAACAGACTCCATCATCTCGGCCGGGCATCTCCCAAGAATACGTTTTGCGTCCGCGGTGTCAGCTATGGGACATACATCAGGGGCAGCATAACCAGAACAGCCCATCATTGGTCTCTCCGTGGGGAATCCAAGGAGACACACAATAATGAGTGGCATCAAAGCAGTCCCAGTGGTCAGAGCAGTCGTCTAGTCGTCGCGCCAGGGGCCGAAACAGCATTTAGAGCGTGGCATCGTCTGCCATCACAAGCCAGCCAGGACCCAGAGGTGCGAGCAGAAAACTGGCAGTTGTGAGCCATGGCAGAAGCGCCGCGGGCTAGGGCTACCTAGACCCCGAATAGGGAGGGTTGGAGGAGAACCCACAACACGAACGAGAACGCGGGAATGACGGGGCCGGAAAGACCCTCCAAACCCCTGCTTTGGCGTGGTTCCCGGCAGCACTGCCCTGTTTGTGCCCGTCCCCCGATCGCGGTGGTGATGCGGAGCATGAAGATCCTGTCAGGCTTCAGTGTGTTTGTAGGGCAACGGGAGTAGCAGTGGGCTCGCTTCTGGTTCGGCAACAATGCCACTCAGAAACGACAAGACGCTTGGCTTGGAGCTAAGGAACAGCAGGGCATATGACAGTGCAGGCATGTATTGACACTAGAGGGGAGGGTATGGCTATGTACGCTGCAACAAGACGCTGGGGCTATGGTGTAACAAGACTCCATGACCTAGGGAGGAAGGGAGCGGGGGGGGGGGGGGGGGAAAGGGGGGGAGAGGGCAAAGGGAGAGGGGTGGTTGTGGGTTTGTGTGGGGTCGTCCAAGAAGACACTCGAAGCGGCATTTCTTCTGCTTGGCTGTGGATGCTCGGTACTGTTGCAAAAGACGACCTATGATCATTCCCAAATTCGCAGGCTTAAATTCATATTCTTGAATTCAATGCAGGCATGCTGAAAATTCGATGCACCAAATTCGGGTCTTCACGACACTTGCAGTTTGCATGAAATTCAGGGGCCAGGCGCATGAAAAACATCGCTCTCGCCTCCTACTGTACGAGCATGCATCATCACAGTCGTCGGATGTGCTGCTGAGGGGCCATCGACACATGGAAAACAGGAACATAGAGGCCACAAAGAAGTAGCAAAACAGTGCAACATAGAAAGGATCTCCAGGCCCTCAAGAGCAGCGAGACATTTACAATACATGTGCTCCTAGCATCTGTGCAAGAACCGACCTCGGGATGAAAATGACCTTCCCATCCGGGAGCGTGATCGGGCACAAATATCCCTGCCCTTGGCGGCTCACCATTGGGAGGGACTCGTCCAGGTTCAGCATCGTGGGCCCTGGTCCACCCGCAGTCGCTGCCGCCGGAGCCGGAGGCGGTGGGGCGGCGGGTCCTGGTCCTGAAGCTGTGGCCGGGTCTGCAGTGGGAGAGCGTGCCGTTGGCTCCGCATTCATAGCTTCGATCTCCTTCTGA